ATTTTATTTTCGTTAATATTCTGATTGTAAAATATTAAATACATATCTTAAACAATAATTCAAGGATTATGATTTTTTTCTAGTCAAACTTCTTTAAGTTCGCCAGTGACTCACTCGCCGTCATCAAAATTCTAAAGTAGGTACTTCTAGATGTGTCACAAACTTCAAAATTTGAATTTTAGGTAGCTTTAAGCTTATAATGGAAGGAAAAAATGAAAAATCTCGAAATATTCTTATGACTCAAAAGTTAGCTATCTAATCGCTAATAGTAACCAACTTTCCGGTGATGGTAATAGGAGGACCGGTGATAGGATTCTTTTAAAAATTTTGATTTTTATATAAAGGCACCTTCTCCATCTATCTAAAATAGTATCAGCGTTACAGTGTTGCCGGATCATTCGAAAAGTGGTAGCATCTTTGTTATTTTAAATGGAATTCGATTTAGAACAAAATATTTTCGCGGCGAATACATTTTAATATCTTTTTTGCAACTGGAGATTGTGGAGTTGAGTTTATAAACTCACATGTTTCACCGGAAATGACTACAACTTTTCATTTTGAAATGGCACCCTCGGTATTTTTTTTACTTTATTCGTTAGAAAATGACACTCTGAATCGAGTGACATATCATATGTCAACTTTTGACATTTTCCAATATGATTTACTTGAAATTGTAACATGCGGTTCATAACGACAATTTGACTCAAAATACCAAGTGTGTGGTATCAAATTATTCGTAAAAAAATGCTTTTTCCAAATACGATTTCGGCATCTTTAGCCGGCCAGGACAAGACACTAAAACTAAAAACTTTAGACGATCAAATCTATTTTTCCCAGGCTCCTTAATTAAAAATTAGTGTTTTTAACTCTGGATTGAAATTTAAAATACAATTTGTTTTTGAGTAGCTATATGTCAAAAATTGACATATGATATGCCATTCAATTCAGAGTGTCATTTTCAATCGAATAAAGTAAAAAAATACCGAGGGTGCCACTTAAAAATCAAAAGTTGCGGTGAAACCGGAAGTGACCGAAAACAATTGAATACGTCAATCAATCCCAATTTATGTCATATAGTAACATACCAAATCTCGTTGTTTTATCTGAAAAAATTAAAAAGTTATAGGGGTGAGCCACTTTTGAGACGCACCCGGTATACAGCTAAAAAAATCAGGAAAATAGAGCTAAAAATAAAAAAATACATAACATTAATTTTGACGACAAAAATTTCCGTTGCGGTTTTTGCATCTGAGTGTATGAAATCTAATAATAATTCTAATCTCAATTATTGTTGACGGCGACTATACTTTGCTATTGCGGTGACGATGACGGCTCGACGGTCACTTCATTTACTTTAACAAAAATTTGCTTTAAATGAGTAAAAAGACAGACCAACTAAGTGTCGAACACACATACCAGCGAGCCACGGCCACCACTCAAACACAACAAACATCCTTATTATTTTTTTCCACTATAATTTAACAGACCGACCCCTAGTTAATCCCTATAGGCATAACGTCCACCCTTCCCTCCCCCAGTGCCAACCCTCCGCACCCACTTGCGTTATACGCAGCGAGAACCATAGATACACACACAGAAGCCGGCACAAAGCCCTTACGCGTGCCTTCCGTGCGCCAAAAGGGCCTTATTGATCAATGGGGGTTTCTGCGGCCGGATTACCATAGTTTTCGGCTGTATTAGACCGATAAGGCCTAAACGGACTCATCCGCAGCGCTAAAATATTGTTTTTAATTTCGATTCCCTTTCGCATACGCCGCCGTTATAACCTCGGAATGGCTTTCTAATCCGCCATGTCGGAAATTTATGACGAAGATGACCTATTTTTCGATATATATCCGTTTTCGTTTTTTCTTCCACGCCAATAACTTTATGGATAGGTTTAGTTTGTGAGTCGTTCAACTATTATTATAAAAAGAAGTTATTTTGAAAAGTTTTCGACTACATAATGAGAGCATTTTTTTAAATATATATTTTTACAAGTATTTCTACTATTTAAGCTGATCGAAAAGAAGCAGCTAATCGCATTAACACACGACAATATCAGAATAACAGACAAAAACGAAATAATAAGCCTAGTAACAAAATTCTATAACGACCTATATAAAACTCCAAAAAACATACACCAAGAAGAAATACTGCCCCTACCACAAGACGACATCCCAGAAGTTCTTAGAAAAAAGTTCTTTCTTGGAAAAAGTAGAAAAGGCGCTTCAAGATATGAAACATGGAAAAGAAGCAAAGAACGACGGAATACCTGAAAGCTCAAATACAGTTCGTCTGTGGGATCTGTGTCTATGAAAGGAATGCGGACAAAAAACATTTAAATAAACAGCAATATATTTTATACGTCGACTTGACGAGTACGTTACCGCAAATCGCTCCGCCCACTCATTTTATTGGCTACTTGCAAATTTGTCGAATTTTTATTGATGGGACGCGTCGTCTAATTTTTTACGAAAAACATCGAGAGAATATCGTTTCCCCTCTCCCGGATACCCCGTAGCCACAGAACGGACAGACGTACTGTACTTAAGAGTATATTACGCTGTCACGCTGTACTGTTCGGGTCGCTCTCAGATGTCGGGAAAAGCGGGTGTGTGGCTGAAGGAAATATATACCGTGCTGGCAACTGTTACTTTTGGGTCGGCGTTTACATATGTGGAAGTAAATCGCATAGGGATCTTATTAAGTCGGAGTGAGAGAAATGCGACCGACCGACGCAACGCGCGACGGTGTGCTGTTGCGGCGTTGCCGATACGCCTTTCCCTATCAAGTAAAGTAAAATCGCAAACCGCTTATTTTTAAAAGACTTTTTTTTCAAGAGATAACTAGATAAAATCATTAGGTTTGTAATGTTTCTGAGCATCTGAAATGGAATTATAAGGATATCGCTAGGGTGTCATTTTTTTTATAACGAGAAAACGTCAGTAATCGCGATAATTTAAAAACTCAACTTTTTTACACATAACAGGTCATAACTCAAGAACCACTTTAGATATAGAAACTTTTTTTTATTTTCAAGATCGGATATTTTACAATATGTTTACATAAGAAAAATTCGATAAGGCTGTTTTTTCCATTCAAAAATTGTAAACAATCCATCCATTTACTTTTAGAGCATAGCAATTTTCAGCAATCGTGTAATTTTTTTATTGATAAAGATTTTCACATACTGTCTACAAAGGAAATACAGCAGAAATATTAACAAAGTTCTTAAAAAAACTACAATCTATTATTTCTAATAGATTTCGAGATATCGATTTTTGAATTCAGAGTTCTAATAGCGCAACCACTATCGAACACCCACTCAATTCCACTTATTTTTACCAAAAATGCAAGTGTTTCTAGCTTGCACTTAAAAAAATTCAAGCTATAGGGAAAATTACAACGACTCGTTAATAAATAAACAAATCAAGTATCACGAGACGTAATTAAATCGCGACGCTGAATGCATGACGTACACCTCTCCCTAGAACTTTAAGTACTGACAGAGGTATTGATTGGGTCGACCGGTCAACTGCGACAAATCTGCTATATCCCCTTCCACGTCTCTTAGCGATGTGCACAGTTTCTCGGTTTATTTCATACGTTTGGCAACGTGTTTACACTGTCCTCTCTTTCTTCAGTACATTATAAACGCATAGTACTCTTCTTACATACGGAAATCTCGACCCAAGACTAACCTTTGCCAGCCCTTAGTATTATATTTCAGAAATCTGCTTAAGGCTTAGCCCGATCCTGTCGTGTTAATCCACACCTAAAACTCCAAACACACGTGCTTGGATTAAGGCTTGATTAAGGTTTGCAGAGATTCAGCATTTGCCATAAATTAAAACTATGGAGTGTAGAGGTAAGGAGAAATAACTCCGTGCATTAAAAAATGGTCAAAAAAGGGAAGAATTAGGATAGCGCTGCTGTAGCAAGATCCTAAAATTTAAGATATGCGCCGAACATTTTAGAACAGATGATTCAAGACATAAATATTTGACGTGAAGCAAACGCGAAGCCGCGGGTTTCAAAAAAATACAATTTTATTTTCATGTTGCATGAAATAAATTACAGATTTTTATTCAGCAGCAATAGACTAGGCCCTTTTTTATTGTTTCTCATAAGTTATTTCGCAAATGTCATTCAAGACGACGAAAAAATATTCTGATCGTTTTAGCTTAAAATTAATGGTAATTATAATTAAGAAAAATTTTATTTAAAGTAATAATTGGTGATGGGTTTAAAATAAATATAATGCAGCTTTAAAATAACTTCATACCTACATTTATTTAGTATAAAAGTAAGTCAATATGTGGTTTTATTATCGATTATTCAGAAGCAATAGACTGAGCCTCTTTTTTATTGTTTCTCATAAGTTATTTCGTAAATCTCATTCAAGATGAAAAAGCTTTAGTTTAAAATTAATGTTAATTATAATTAGGAAAACTTTATTAAAAGTTTAATTGATGATATGGGATTTAAATAAATATAATGCAGGTCAAAAATAACGTAACACATTTTATTTAGTATAAAAATTAAGCCAATATAATATAATTTAATATTGTACAAGTATTTATTTACGTTTTGCCATTCATTCAGAATAGTGGATTTTAAATGTGCGATAGTCGGATGGCTTAACTACCTTAATATCAACTACTTCTAGACAAGAATCGTGTGCAGTATTATCTTCTTTTCACTCCCAGCTATTCCAACATGGCTTGCATGGCTTGGGACGTGAAATAATATAATTTTATAGCCCTTCCAGATGCTCATGTCTTCCTTGTAGTTCACCCAATAGAATCGTTCTCGCAGCTTCCTCCCAAGTTGGTAGTTCCTATTCATTCAGAATAGTGGATTTTAAATATATTTGGTTATTCGGATGGTTTAACTATCGTAACAATAACTACTTTTAATAATTCTTTTTCTCAATTCTTTGCACTATAATTTGCATCCCACGTATTGTAATATTTTCCTTTGAAATTCGTTTTCTATTGTCCCATGGCTTGAGACGTAATGTTATAGCCCTTCCAGATCCTCATGTATATGTCCCTTTTCCTTGTAGTCCACCCAATACAACCTTTCTCTTAGCTTCCTCTCAAGTTGGTAGTTACCATTCATTAAGAATAGTGGATTTTAAACATGTTTCGTACTCGGATGGTTTAACTACTGTAACACCATAAATAAATTGTATACCAACACATAATGGCCAAACTTCCCAACAGACTTTAATATTCATAAACCTCATCAGAAGAAAATATTTTTTGATCCAAAGTTTTTTTTTCGTTATTAGAATAAATTACCTGCAATTTTTTAATTCATTACAACATTGAATAAAAAATGCAAAGTGTTTATACATACTATAATAGATAAATCTTCATTTAAAATTATGTGATAGATCTGCTTGCTTGTAGGATCTAGACTCATAAACTCAATAATTTCTTTTATTGATATAACCAATAAATTGGTAATGCTGAGATTTTGTTTTTGATTTGAGCAATAGGGTCCATTATTTCCATTATTTGATGCTGTTATTGCTCTACAAAATGTTGATCTTTATCAAGGGATGTTTATGTGTATAATATTACTATTTATGTGTATAATAATACTGTATGATCGAAAAAACACGGCGTCCACACGGCTTGGAAATGAACATCTCGATGACATTCTCCATATCATTTTACATATAAAATGAAAGCAATCTTCATTTCATAGGCATCGCTGACGCCATTTTTATTCGATCAAATTGTACTTACGTGTATAATATTCATTTAATGGTTCCTGTTTTAGTTGCTGGTGCTCATATTTTGGTTTTTTATTCTGTTGTTGCTCTACAAAATGTTAATATTTATGTGCACAACATTACTCTTTCTGTGTATAATATTCATTTAATGGTGCCCTTCTTGCTTATTGCTGTTGTTGCAATTCAGAATTTAAATTAACCTGAGGCAGTAGGTAGAGCTTCATCCTCCAACATTTTCCTATGTAAATACTGAAGTGGACAGTATTTCTGATAACAATTTTATCACAAACTTTAACATCTTGTTCTTTAAAATGAAACTGCCATACCTTATCTGTAGATTTCAAAGCAATATCTAAATGCTTTTGACCATCACTGTAATTTAATTCTTGTCTGAAAATCAATACCTAATATTATCCTGATGATTTTGATTTTTGATAGATTGTTAAAATACAGCACTTACAGTTAACTATATTTCTTGAAAGTACCTATTACAAATTTATATATTTCCTAATTTTACTTGTTTAAAAAAATGCCAACAATTTGTGCATGTCGGTCAAACTTTAAAATCATTAAAAATAAATTTTATTCAGGTTGTAACTTTATAAAAAGGATTGTAAAAATATACTTTGTAACATGTATGTCAATAATCTTACGAAAAATGTTTACTACACTTTTGATTGACTCTAATTTTTACATATAATACTGTTACGTTTTTCGTCGGTTCCGTGTGGATAGAAAGTCACTATTTATTTAACACTAATTAACAAAAACAATAACGATAAAAGACTTATAGAACTATTTACAAACGATTTATAACTAAGAAATTATTTTGAATTTTAGCGCGTCAACTGCACTGGTATATTTATAACTGCCCTCTCTAGGCCACTGCCGCCGGCTTTTATACCTACAGCAAAATAAATCTAGAATAGTCCATAGATCGTTAGGTGCATAGAGAAGGTTTTCGAATGTTCTCGTATGTACTAGTCCATTCTAGTGGGTCTCGATTCTTCTCGAACGAATGAATCATTACGGTGTCTATTCTTTAATGCAATGTTAAAGTCATCTGAGGGCGGAACAGCGGAACATATAGTTAGGTTAGGTCGAGTCCACACGGGTCCGCAACACTGCCCCCTTCTTAGGTACATGCTCGTCCCGAGATGTACACGGTGAATGAAGGTATTTGCAAAGCTGGCCCCTGGTACATTGAGAAGTCTGGTAGAAATAGCAGTCTACAGTTTTCTCTCCCGATCTCAGCTTTGGGTTGTAGCAGCAAACGAGGATCTCGATTCCCGTAAATCTGAACAAGACTTCAATCATGTTCCGGATTGTACGCCAACTTAAACCATCGAGTCCACACGCCAGCTTCGGAATGGCTAATCGTGTAATGTTGTTGTTTAGCAGGGCTTCTCTCAGTTCAATCAGGGTCTTCCATAGATTGAGATAAGTCGGCTTACTTGGAGACCATTCCTTGGTGACTAGGTAGAAAATGTGCCTTGCTTGACCATGTGCATTGTCGGTTAGCCTCAAGACGCTTCCAACCTCTGGATCCTGTCGGCGTAGTTCTCCGAGACGCCCAAACCTCTCATTGAACGTCGCAGCGATTCCTCTGGACATCCGCAAATCTCGGGCCACACAATGAGCGAGCGAATAATCAGGAGGCACGGAAAAGAGGTCTCGTTGATCTTCTTTGGTTACACCATAGCGAGCCTTCTCACTGCTGTTGTATCGGGCCATGAAATCGTCAAAGGACATCTCCGAATCAGGGGGATCAAAGCTGCAGGTTCTCACGGTCCCAGCACGATCTTCTATTTCGCCTTGGTAGGGGCTCAAACGGTTGAAATGGACTACCCTCGGTTTTCCTTTTGGCAATTTTCTGATACGGTATACGACGTCATTAATCCTATCCATGACTTCGTATGGCACTTCCCACGAGGATTGTAGCTTCGGAGATAACCCACGACGTCTCTGCGGGTTGTATAGCCACACCAAATTCCTGGTTGGTATCCCCATGCTCAGCTTGAATGTCGTAGTGCTCCTTCATTCGGTCACTAGCGCTTTGAATATTTAGGCGGACTCGCTGATGGATGGCGTCCATCCTTTGACGTAGTGTGTGGACATAATCTTCTCCAGCGACATATTCTCCCGGTCGACAACCGAACTTCAGATCACAAGGTAGGCGTACTTCCCGTCCCATAACGATGCTGGCTGGAGTTTGCCCTGTAGATTCTTGGACGGATGAACGATAGGCCAACAGGAACAGGTGAAGAAATTTGTCCCAGTCTCTTTGGTGGTCAGAGACTACTTTGGCCAAATAACGGTTGATGGTTCTGTTCGTGCGTTCAACCATCCCATCGGATTGTGGATGCAGAGCAGTCGTCCTGGTCTTGCGGATGTTAAGGACCTCCTGTGAGGAAGAAAGAAACTTTGAGTCCAATCTGTTCCAAGGCGTCTGTACGCCTTGGAACAGATTGGACTCAAAGTTTCTTCCCTGATCTGAATGAAGCTCCATGGGAACACCAAACCTGCAGATCCATTCTTTAACAAGGGCATCAGCAATCGTGGACGCTTCTTGATTTGGCAACGCGTAGGCCTCGACCCATTTGCTGAAGTAATCCATTACTACCACAATGTATTTGTTGCCATCGTTCGTCTCCGGAAAAGGACCAGCCACGTCGATCGCTATTCGTTCGAAGGGACTACCAACATTGTACTGGCGCATAGGGGCTTTACCACGCTTTTGTGGCCCATTAATGGCTGCGCAAATGTAACATTTCTTACACCAGGCCCTCACATCTTCTTTGCAGTTCACGCAGTAGAACCGTTCACGCAGCTTGCCAAGTGTCTTGGTAACACCAAGATGTCCTTCCTCCAAACTTCTGGTCTCCAAACCAAGACTTCTGGGACCCTTTCCTTTGGAATGACGATCTGCCTTCTCTCTTCTTGTCCCTCCGGTCTCTCGATCACACGGCGAAGTAGTCCGTTATCTATTACCAAGGAATTCCACTGGGCCCAGTACGACTTTACGTTCGACGAATATCTGCAAACTTCTTCCCACGTTGGTCTTTGGCCTGTGTTTTTCCAGTTAATTACTAAACCTAATTCTGGGTCACTGGTTTGGTCATTTGCAAGATCTTCGGGTTGCCAACTATCATTAACCACAGTTGTTCTTAGGAGTTTCACTTCTTTCTCTTCTGCTCGGGAACAATGCTTACAGTCCTTAGCGCAAGGTCTTCTGGAAAGTGCGTCGGCATTCCGATGGATTGCCCCAGTCGATGTTCTGTGTCGAAGTCAAATTCTTGTAATCGTTCAATCCATCTAGCTACCTGCCCTTCAGGATTCTTAAACTGCAACAGCCATTTCAAAGCAGCATGGTCTGTTCTTAACAAGAACTTTCTTCCATAGAGATACTTGTAGAAGTGTTCCACTGCTTTAACTACTGCTAGTAATTCTCGTCTGGTTACACAATAGTTCCTTTCCGGTTTTGACAAGGTCTTACTAAAATAACCAATGACATTTTCTTGACCATCCTGGATCTGAGACAGAACAGCGCCTAACGCAACATTGCTAGCGTCGGTATCCAATATAAAGTTTCCGTTGCCAAGAGGGTAGCTAAGTATGGGCGCACTAGTCAGGGCCTTCTTCAATTTTCGGAATGCCTCGTCAGAATATGAGTCCCAAGAGAAACGCCTCTCGCCTTCGGTAAGTCTGGTCAATGGTTTTGCGATGGTGGCGAAACCCTGTACATAGCGGCGATAGTATGTGCATAGTCCCAAAAAGCTTCGTAGTTCATGTTTATCTTTAGGTATTGGCCACTCTTCCACTGTCTTGGTCTTCTGTGGATCTACCGCAACTCCTTGGGAGGAGACTACATGTCCCAAGTAGTGTACCTTTTCTTGACACAGATGACATTTTTTGGGGCTAAGTTTCAAACCAGAGCTCCCTAGTCGCTTGAAAACTTCTTCCAAATTCTTCAGATGATCGTCAAAGGATTTCCCAACCACTATGATGTCATCCAGGTACACTAAACAGGTAGTCCAGGATAGTCCCTTTAACGACTCCATTAGTCTTTCGAAGGTAGCTGGCGCGTTGCACAATCCAAAAGGCATGACGGTAAATTGCCACAGTCCGGAGCCCACCGAGAACGCTGTCTTCTCACTGTCTTTCGGCGCCATGTCGACTTGCCAATATCCACTCTTCAGATCTAACGTAGAGAATATCGTTGACCCCGCCAGCGTGTCTAGAGTATCGTCTATCCTCGGCAGGGGATAACTATCCTTCTTGGTAACATTATTGAGCTGCCGATAATCAACACAGAACCTGGTGGTACCGTCTTTCTTCTTTACTAGTACTACCGGCGATGTCCACGGGCTGTTAGATGGTTCGATGACACCCTCTTCTTTCATTTCTCGAAGGATTTTATCAGCTTCTTCACGTTTGGCGAGCGGAAGTCTTCTCGGATTTTGTTTGATTGGTCGTGCATCTCCGGTATCAATTTTGTGTTGTACTAAATTGGTACGACCTCTCTGTCCTGCTTCTCCTTTATCAAACACATCTTGATACTTGATTATCAGGTTTCTCAATTTTCTTCTATTTTCGGGAGATAATCCTTTAACGTTTACTAACTCCTTCACCATTTTGTCCGGAATTTTTGAAGTCGAAACTTTGGAGGCTTCCACGCTTCGAACGACTGAGGAGACCGAACAACAGTACCCTAAGAGGGTTCCCTTCTTCAAGGATACAGAATAATAATTCGTGTTCATTACTCTCACCGGTACAGTTTTCTTCGCTCGTAGCAGGGCTTTTCCAACAGCGATCCCTCGTCCTATTTCGCTGTCATGGTTCCTTGGCTCCAACAGAATAATACTCCCATTATTCAT